GCAAGGCAGGGGCCGCGCCTGGTTTGCTCACAAGAGTCTCCCTCAGAAGCAATTATTTATCACTGTGGAATGAATGGATGGCCATGTTCCAGAAATTTATGGCCTTCACAGGGAAATGATATCTGAACTGACCCTGGACTCCATTAGGAGAAAGACAGAGACAGACAGACAGACAGACACACAAACACACACACACACACACACACACACACACACACACAGCATATTCTTGGGGCTCTTTCTTTGGTGAAGGGCATTGCAGAGGCAGCCAAGGGCCCAGCCCAACTCCGGGCCTGGATGTATTCCAGACTGGAACCTGGGACCCAGATTCTTCTGCACGTGTAACCTGAATAAATCAGGGTCATGCTCTTTGGGTCTGAACAAGAACTTGACTCAAAAAGCCTTGGAAGGAACATAAGTATTGACTGAAAAGGCAGGGAAAGGGGAGATTTTTGTTCCACACAACCCAAACTTTCTTCCCAGGGCTACACTGGATCTGGCCATGACTCCTCACACTGTTTTCTCTCTTGTCTCCCTCGTCCTCTATGGTCAGGTCCCAGCTGTCTGGAGCGTGGTCTAGAAGCAGCCACAGGCTCTGGGCATACAGGACCCTTGGCCCTGCAAATTGTTTGTTCTATGAACAGAGGTGGAGCTGGAGAAGGGCCAGAACAGGGACCCTGCAGTGTGGGACCCGTTTCCTAGAACTGCGGGCCTAAGGGACTGGGTGTCACTCACACCTATACCTGCCTCCTCTCTTCCCTCTAATCATTGCCACTGCTCAGTTACTTAGGTCACTGATCTCTGAACCCTGAACAGGCCCTGGAGCCTGTGCCAAGGTCCGTGAGTACCTGCTTCCCAGGGCCTCCTGCACACTCTCACCAGGACCCTCACACCTGGGCCAAGCTTCCTGCCAGCTGTGGCCCTGGGGCTGCCATACCAGGCCATGAGCTGGTTGTTTGGGGGCTTCCAAGGGGAAGGGACCACTTTGAATGGGAAGCTTTGATGGCAGGGAGTGACACTCCCCCCATCACAGGCTTGGCTGAAATTTGAGGGTGTGTTTTGGCCCTGGGCTGGGGTGGCCAGGAAGGGGCTGTCCCAGCCCCATTGTACCAGACCAAGATGGGCTGTGACTTTGTTTCCCTGGTGCCTGACTCCTCCACTCATCCCAGAACGCCCTCTCAGAGTGTATTTCCAAAGCCAGCTTTGATCAGGTCCCCAGCTGCCCACAGCCCTTTCTGGGCTCCCTGTGGCCCATGAGAGAAAGTCCAGGTCCTTAAGCTTTGAAGCCTCTCTGCCTTCATCTCCCACTATTCTGGCTTCTTCCCTGGCCACGCGGCCTCTTCTAGAGGAAGCTCCTCTGCCACTCCTACTTTTATACCCTCACTGTCCTTTCTCTAGCCTGGGACCTCTCCCATTTTCTCTCTACTTATTTGAGCCTTGCCCATATTTTGTGGTGACAGGAATGTCACCTTTGCGTAGCACCATTTCTCTACTCCAGCCAATCCCAATCTCTCCCTCCCTGCAGGTCTCTTGGTTCCGTCCCTGTCCGGTGCACTACATAGCCACCCTTGGTAGCCTGGCAGGCAGCCTCGGCTTCTTTTCAGGCTCAGACCGGCACCAGCCCTGTGAGTTGCTTTCCATTTTCTAGATGAAGAAAACTGAGGCTCAGAAAAGAAAGATTTGCTCAAGGGAAGACTACAGTGGTGATCTATAAATTCAATCAACAAATATTTGTTATACAGAAACACTGCAGATTTTGGAGCCAGAAGACCTGGGTTCCAATGCTGACACCATCACTTACTTGCTGTGTAGCCTGAGGAAATTCATTTGCCTCCTCTGTGCACCATTTTCCTCAGCTGTAAAATGAGGGTAATAAAAGTACCTGTACCACAGGATTATTGTGAGGCTAGAATGAGTTAATCTGGATGAAGTACACAGCATGCCAGTGTACAGTAGGAGCTCAACACACGTTAACATGTTATTCTTCCGGGACTGGTTTTATGCACAAAGCAGGGTAAGAGGAGTATGTAAATAATTATTGCTTAGTCCATAAATATTTCCCAAGCTCTGGCTCAAGTCATGGCTTGCCCCTTCAGTACAGGCCAGCCATGGGAAAGGGCATGGCCTGCTCACAGGGGCTGGTTAGGAAGGGGGGTTGTGGATCCAGGCAGCTGCCATCGGAGTGGTCCTGGCTACAAGTTGTCCCTGGGACCCAGATGAGCTTCGTCTTGGGTTGTAGCAGGACTCGTGACCCCAGGGCTGGAGCCCTGGGCTTCTGGAGTCTGAGAAGTGTCAAACTCCAGCAGGGCCCAGCCCAATGCCTAAGGTGAAGGGCAGTGCCAGGGCCAGACTGTGGCTCCACCAGGCACCTATTGCTGACCATTAGGAGTACACACAGCTTGAACCTATGTGGTCCTCATTTGCTCTGGGCATCCCAGTCAGCCCCGGTAAGGGACAGGGCAGCTGAGCAGAAGCGGTTCTCCACACCCTCAAAATCTCAGCTTTTTCCAAATGTGCTCTGGGGAAAGGACTGGCCATTGGTTTCTAGCCTGATGGGAACATAGGTCCCAGAATCCTGATGTCATAGCTCCAGAGGCTGCGAAAGCACATGGTAGGCAAAAGCCCAGAAAAGGCAGGTTGGCAGCCAATGAAGCCCAGCAAGGGGGAAAGTCGAACCTGGGGCTCCACCCACCAACCTTGGGCCCCTTCCTCCCCTTCCAGTGTCCTTCTAACTTCCCAGGGGCCCTTTCCTGAGAGGAGCCTCCCACCTCTGTTCAGCCCAGGCAAAATGCCAGATACCATTTCTCTGTTTATTACAAACACGTGCTCAGGTAAATAATTGAGGATCTAAAAATATACATTAAAATAAATAATTGAGATTCTCAAAGTTCTTAGAGCAAATAAGTTATATACAGATGTGTGAAGCAGAACAGGCTCTTCTCACCAGCAGGGTCCCCAGGCCAGGAAGGCACAAGGACTCTGGGAAGGGGCGGCTGGAGAGGGCAGATGGGGACTCGCCGGGATGCCCAGGCTATCCAGCCTCCAGGACTGGCTTAGATGACAGTGTTTCCTGCTGTGTGGCACCTCCTGGATTGGAGCCCAGCAGACAGGAGAGCCTCAGGACAGGGCCTCCAGGTTCATGATTGCTCCATGAAGTTCCTTCTAGCAGGGCTGTAGCCAGCAGCCAGTACCAGGGCCTGCCCTGCCACTTGAGAACTGAGAGCGCTCCTAGGCAGTGAGTGTGACGGCACAGAGCTGCCTTGAGCAAAGCTCCCTCCACCAGGGTGGGAGGCCAGAGCTTGTGCCAGCCCCAGAAAATGGGTCCGAGTAGCCAGGCCAGGAGACAGGCAGAGGGTCTCCCATGAGCCGCCCATCTACTCCTGTCTCAAGGTAGGTGGGCTTCTTTCTCAATACTCCTGCAGCTCTCGGCGCTATCTCTTCTTCCACCTGGAATGTGCAGGCCTGGGCTCCCTTGCTGCCTCCTGCTGTCGCCTGCCAAAGCGGGCCTTGGCAGCAGAAATGTCCCTGGAGATAGAGAAGGGTCAACTGAGCATCTCGGGAGATACACAGTCCAGGAGCTCTGACGGGGACTAGGGCTGTCCGGGTCAGAGGGTGGCCACAGCCTGAAATGTGCATGTCAGGGACAGAGCAGCCTAGGCCGAGAAGCTGCCCAGGGGAGCTTTGACAAAGCTGACATTTAACGCCAAAAGCTGCCAGAATGACTGGGCAGCCAAGACAGCCCAGGCGTCGCCCATCGTCTGCCCTTCCTCTTCACACCTTGCACACGTGCTTCCCTCCCCACAGTCCAGCTCCTCTCACTACACTGTATCTGCTCACATGCTGCCCGGTCCTCAAGGTGGCCCAGCCCAGACACACTGCATCCAGCTGAGACTGTGGCCATGACCCTGGCAGTATCCAAGTGCCCTCTTCCTGGGTAGAAGGGCCTAGGCCTGGGAGATAAAAGGCTGCATAGGCCTCTAGCTATGGGAACACAGGCAAGGGGTGCAACCTCTCTGAGACCCTTTCTCAGCCTGTAAAATACGAAGCAGGCCTGAACTGCGGTGCAGACAAGCACACAGTTGGCAAAGCAAGCCCTCTACACATTCTGAAGTGCTGTGCACCTGTGAAGTCTTATCCTGGCTTTCTTTGTCCTCAGACAGTTCTTCATATATGCCGGGTCCTGCCCATCCCACTATCTTGCTTTTTCTTCTCTCCTGCCTTTTCTGCCTCCTCCCAAAGATGGGAACCCCTGAGGGGTCACACTGGGCCCTGGCACTGTCCAGCTTGAAGGAGTCCCTAGTGGCAGACGCAGGATGGCTAAGACCACTGGAGCTCTCAGGGGGCCAGGCGCTGCTTAGCACACTTCATGAACTTCAATGTATCTGACCTCATGCCAAGCTCGTGGGACCAATGCCGCTATTTCCCTGTTTCAAAATACGGACCTGAAGCACAGCCAGAAGTCACAAAGCTTATTTGGAGCAGGGCTGGATTCAAATCAGTCCATTCCTGTTCCCAAAGCTGCACCCTGGGCCACTCCACTGCATGGCCAGGTTGGAGCTTCTGTTCTTAAGACTGGTTGGACAAACATCTATACACCTCTTCTATGCCAAGCCTAGAGATGAGCCACACCAAGGCCACCAGGGAGGAGATCCAGTCTGGGCATCAAGGAGGGAGCAGGCTGGGCAGTTGGCCCCTGTGAATGCCAGCTCATGGCAGATGCTTGATTCAACAGAGCCTGAGCAAACAACTGTGGTCCGTCCCTCAAGCCCTCTAAAATAGTGCACAAACAGGCCCAGAGCTAAGAACACAGAAGTTAAAAGCATAGACTCTGGAGCCAGTCAGATGCCACTAATGCTGTGTGATTTTGGCCAAGTGGCTTTGCTTCTCTGAGCCTCAGTTCTCTTGGAAAGACAATGAAGACCCAGTCCTATCTTACATGGAGAATAAGAACAATGTGCAAGGTATACAGGAAGTGCTCAATCAATGCAGCTGCCTCTCACCTCAACCTCTGGAGGAGCGCTCCTTCTGTGGCCCATGTCTTGCCAGTCTGGAACACGTGTGAGAGGGGTTGATTGATTGGGACTGTCACAGCTTCAGCCCTGAATAAATGGTAATAGGGCCCAAGTAAGGGGCTGTCCCGGGCCCTGAAGCCACCTGGCTGCAAGCCCAACCCAGCCCCTACCCTACCCCACCCACCTGCCCTTGGGAGCAGATCCATTTTCACCCCTGTGCACCTGGCATCCTTCCTTTTCCAGGTAGGGAGGGGACTGAGGAAAAATGAGCTACCGGGAATGTGTTTTTAGCCTCCAAAAGAGGTAGCTAGGTGGCTGGTCTTCCCAGAATCCAGCCAGCTGCAGCTGCAGGGGAAACTGAGGCAAGGGAGGAGCCACAGCTTGGGCCCAAGAGGAGGAGTTTCTCGTAAATGACCTTGGGAACTGGAGCTTGGGATTTGAGAAGCCAGTTCCAGCTTTCCCACTGAGTCCAAGCAAAGGAGGGAAGGAACAAAATCTCTTCCCCTTTCAAAGATGGGAAATCAGAGGCTTAGGAAAGTGAGGAGACTTGGCAAAGCTCCCCTCCCTTCATCCCAGGATGGTGTCATGGCTTCCCAACTCCTCAAGTGATTTTTCCTCTGAGCATACTCTGAAGTTCCCGAGTCCAGTTGGAATCCAAAGCCTAGTAGGACCCAGATAGGAGTCCTGTCCCCTCTCTGGGCCTGAGCTGTCTCAGCTTTCACCTAGGGAGCATCTATCCTGTCCAGGAATGAGGCCGCAAGTGCCCTCAGGAGTCCCAGAGCTGGTGGAGGGAGGCACTCAGGGATGACAAGTTCCTTAGGTAGGAACACGCCCATGTACCAGAGCCACCTATGGGCCTCAGGATCCTGCTTGCTTCCAACCAGCTCCTCTACTGCCTCACAGACACACTGCTCCCAGGATGGGCACAGACTAGCAGCCCCTCCTACCCCTTCAAGCTGGGTATCCACCTACCAGGGTCTTCGATGGCAGAAGGTGGAGCAGACAGGGTCCCTGGAGCTGGAGCACTCACAGCGCTTTGGCAGGGAGCGGCGCCGGCGTCTTGGCGGGTTTCCCAGGCCGTAAGGAGCTGTCTGTCTGTGGGCGGGCAGCCAGCAAGGTAGTGGTGGGGCAGGGAGAGAGAGAGAAAGAGGAAGACAGAAAGAGAGCGAGAGGATTAGATGAATCACTGCCATTGGTGAGCAGGCACTATCCATATGGCACAATGAGACAGCCAATCATATCACCAGGATGTCAGTAAATGGTGACCAGCCTCTGACCTCAAGAAGTCCCACCACTGAAGTAAAAAATCCCTCCACAGGTGCATGGGTAACTCTGGACAAACCCCTGCCCCTCCCTGGACTCTGGGCACTGGGTGAGCAGGGGCTGAGGAGCTCTCAGCAGGGAGAGCTCCCAGCATGGTGAGGAAGGGGTAGGATTTGTGGTCCCATCAGTAGCCAGGAACTGGGAAGTCCTTACAGCCCCATCCCTTCCCAGATAGGAACTTGAGTCCATGGAGCTGGCTGGTCCTCTTGTTCTCAAAAAGGCTGAAGGAAGGAAGAGCTTCCATCTCACAGAAGTGACCACACAGGCTCACAGCAGAGCTGCCCTACCTGGTCACTGCTTGCCTGGAGGAGTGACCAATGTGCCTGAGAGCTCTAATAGAAAAATGGTGAAATGGTGTGTGTGTGTGTGTGTCTGTGTGTGTGTCTGTGTGTGTGTATGTATGTGTGTGTGCATGTGTGTGGGACTGATTTCAGATTCAACCTGACCAAGATGGCCAGAGACAAGGCAAGGTCCTGAGGCAGGTCAGTCCAGCACCTTTGAGTGACAGAGCTAATTTTAGATGGTGGAGCAGAGCTGTGATGACTCCAGGTAGACGCAGCACGCAGGGACTGGCAGGGTTCCCACCCTGAGAGTGTTTGGATGCAGATTAGCTCCACACATGCTTACCTGCTGGCTTTCTCTTGCCTTACGCAATGCGGGGAAGGAAAACACACACACACACACACACACACACACACACACACACACTCAGTTTGAGGTATGCAGAGGCCCAGAGGCAGCACGGGTGCAGGCAGAGCAGACAGCACCTGGATCCTGGCAGGGCTCAGCTGGGTAACCCAGGGCAGGCGTCTCATCAGTCTCTTGGGGATGACCTGCTTCATGGGGAGGCTGGGGGCCCAGGGGATGACACTGCACATGCAGCACTTGGCACGGGGCCTGGCACACTCAAGACATGGGGCCTGTCATTAATTGTAGCAGTCTTTCCAGAGGCATCTTGGCCCAGCTGGCATGTGCCCTGACATCCACAGACTGGGGATGGAGCCTACCATTTTCCTGTGTGATCAGTCTTGGGGAAGCCACCTAATCTCTCTGAGCCTCAGTACCCTGATCTGGAAAGTGGAACCAATACTTTCTTAGTAGGCTACTGTGAATATTCCCCGGGGGCAGCCCTCTAACTGACTCTGGCAGCTCCCATGTGAGAGTTGAAGCAATAACCAGTCACTATTACTGTCAGCCCAATGTCTCCATCTGCAGGCCCAGGGAAAGGTGGGTTCGGCCAGAGGTTCTCCAGCACGCCAGTAGCCCTTACACTGTTTCCACCCTCGTAGCTCCCATCTGGATCCCCATGGATGCTCACCCCGGAGTGTTCACCCAGATGATGTCCAGGTGGCAGAAGTAGATGCACTCTTTGTCAAGCCAGGAGCTGCAGGAGCAACGGCGAAGCCTCAGGTGGGTGCCTTGGGCCCTGGGTGAGAGCCCCAGTGGCTTCAGAGTAGAGGTAGCCTGGCCCTTCCCTGCATGCACAGGAAGGAGAAAGAGGTGGAGAGGTGGTCAGGGCCCCTGGTAGGGGACCTGCCAGGCTCCTTCTCCTGCAGGATCCAGGAAGTTGGCACTCTCTCTGCTCAGCAGCTCCAGGCCAGCCCCGGGGAAGCCATGCAGACCCATGGGAAAGGCCGGCGGCTGCCCTGAGCCTGTGGCGCCTGTGCATCTGCAGAGCACCCACTGCAGCCACACCAGATCCGGCTGGTACTCCTCAGTGGACTCTAGGGGGGATACTGACGGATGGACCCAGGCCCTGCAGCAGCACGTGAGGCCAGGGCAGCTCACCTTCATGCAGGACCACGAGCAGAGCTAAAGCGATGGAGCACCAGGCTGCGAGCATGGAGACCATAGCAGCGGCAGAGTGAGGTGCTGGACTGGAGCAGGGAGCGCCTGTTGCCAGCGTCCTGCTGCTAAGCTGAGCTGGTAGCTCATTGCCTCTGTGCCCTAGCTGCCTCTTATAACACCAGGCACTGTGCCCCGCCCCTGCTGGTCCACCCCGCCCTCAGGCTGCACCTTGGGCCCAGAGCCAGGGACACCGCCTCCTCCCGGGTGCCTGGCCCGCCCTAGACTCTGTGAGGAGGGGGAAGGTGGAAGGCTTTGCTCCTCCCTCTGTGCCTGGAGCACCTCAGGGAGTCCTGAGGTTCTTCTGCAACCCCCAAGGTACCTTTCCATCCATGCTGGACTTCCTCAAGTCACCCCCAAAGTATCCCACGCCCCCTCTCCACTCTCCTGGTTCTGCTCCACAGGCCTTGCCAAGAGCTGGGTTAGAGGGGGAGGTCTCATGAGCAAAGCCTTCCCCTCTCCTTCGTGGAGACCCGTCCTGCTGCTCACTGCCAGCCAGGCTGAGGATGACCCTCTGCTGTGTGGGTGGTGAGGCCCATTCAAGGCTGTGTGGCCTTGGGCGAGTCAGAGCCCTCTCTGGGCCTACTTCCCTCAGTGAAGGACACAGCTCACAACTGACCTCTGACTAGCCTGGGGCTGTCTCATCCTTACCTCACCCAGGAAGTGCTGCCCACCCCTCCTCTTCCATCACCACAGGGCCCAGAGCAGGGGTTCTGATCTCTTCTGGAAGCTATTCAGCTGTGCAGTTATGGCCAAGAATAGCCATCCTGGACCTCAGTTTCCTTATCTGTAAAACAGGCCAAAAGAAGGCATTTCCTGCTCTCTGTGGCTCACAGCCTCCCTTGAGACAAAGAAGGAGGCTCCAGAGTTCTTTCCAAACAGAAGCCCCTGTGAGGCTCCCAGTTGGGACAGGAGCGGACACCTTGTCACCTCAGTGGCTACTTCATGCAAAAGGGGGAGGGGATAACCAAAGGCAAGGCAGGGGGCAGGCACTTCTTGGGGACTGGCATTCTGGTCCTGGTCCTTGTGTCAGTCCAGAAGCCTCGCTGGAGACAAGAACAAGGATGCACTGTGCTGAGCTGAGCACCCTGGGAACTGGCAGCCACTCTGTGCCTGCCCAGGCCCGGCTCAGAGTCCATCTCTGAGGTATTTGCTCGGGGACTTCATCTCTAGGCTATTAGGAAAGGCCCTCTCATTTCTCAGAATTCCCAGAGCTGCCTGACTCCTGGCATCAGGCCTATCTCCTGGCGCTCTTGACGCCCACTGTGGTCCCGCGTGCAGTAGGAGGCCTTCAGTGCTCCCTGAGGGAAGGGAATGAATCACAGCAGGTCTGCCTTTAATAGTGTGGCCCAGGCTCCAAGTTTTTCCTTCCTATATTCAGCACTTTTAGTTTCCATAGTAGATATCCATGAAGGAAAACAGAAGGCTACAAGGGCTGGGCAATTTTGCTTCTTCCCTGGGTGCACCCAAGAGCACATGTGTGTGGGAGCCTGGTAAAGCGGGGCTGAAGCAATAGAGCACCAGGTTAGTCCACATCCTCCTCCTTCCCTCAGGATGAGGCCAGACACAGTGGAAATGAAAATAAACATTTAATGAGCACCTACTGTATGCTCAAAACACTTTTGACTCCTCCTCACGGCCATCCAGAAGGCAGCTGTTGCCATCTGGTGTCAGCCATGCCGGCCCTAGAGGAGGCTCAGAGAGGAGCAGAGTCACCTCACCATGCAGCTGGCACATGGCTGAGCCCTCCTCAGGGTCCTGATCTTGGTCTCTCAAGCAAACCACAAGTGACTCCTGTGTGGGGCACACTGCCCTCTCCCACATTGTACCTCTCTAAGCATTCAGAAGAACATTTCTGGAATGAGGTGAGCAATGCTCCCAGTCATTTCTATTAGCCTCTGGGGAGAATATGAATACAGACTTAAGCAGAGCTGGGGATGGGGGGGTGGGGCGGGGAGAATGCAAACTACTGAGCTGGAAAGAGGAGAAAGAAGCTGAAGCACTGCCTGGGGAGAAGGAGGGGGTCAGAGAGTAGAGGAAAACAAACAGGGAGGCAGATAAAGACTCGTAGGGAGAGAGCTGGAGAACAAGGAAGCAGAGCATAGCTAGGGAGAAAGAAAGAAGTCGGATTTGAGAAAGTAAAAGAGAAAGACCATAGGGAGTCAGAGGCATGGTTCTAACGTGTCTAATCTTTACACAAATGCAAAACGCCTGCCTGGAACAATAGGGAGCCAGAGGCTGCGAGTCTGGGGAACATAATAGAAGAATTAAATGGACCAGAGACAGGATCCCTCCCGGGAGTGAACGGAAGATGACGACAGGGCAGAGGCTGCTGCCTGGGCCTCCCAGGGTCATCACAGGAGCTGCACACAGGGCCCGGCTCCGGTTTCCGTCTGTCCTTCCCCATGCTGGGCTCCAGCTGGGTGAGGAGGGCTCCTGTGAAATGGAGAGGCCTGACCCAGGAACGTGAGCAAGCAGGGTCTCGGGGTGAAACCTTTCCTGGAATAGCGCTACCCCACTGCTGGTTTCCAGGTAGAGAAAATTAAGCTGAGTTAAAAATAGCCGACCCCAGCCCCCTGGATCTCTTAGTTTGGGCTCTGACAGTCACTTGGCCCCTCCTGGTTGATCTGGTCTACTCTCCCTGTTCCTTCTAGGTGGCCTGGCTGCATGTCCTTGCCCTTGCTAGCTGGCCTGGCCCCCTGAACCCACTGCTCCAGCCTCCAACAACCACCCCTGCCCTGCTGCACCCAAACCCAGCTTGGCCCTGCTACCTGCCTGGGTTTCTAAAGGCTGCAGGGAGGGCACGGCATCACAGAAGGTTATCCTGTCAGAATTTGAAGGGAACTGTTTTGCATACAAATGAAGACTCATGTGCTTGGCACCAGCCCAGTTTGATAAAGAGAGACTGATGGGGAGGAAAAGCTGGCAGAAGACGGCAGCTCAGGTGTGTTTCTGGGTAAGATGCTAGGAATTGCCCCATAGAAGTCCCCTCTGGTTTGCACGCCCACGTGGTAGATATGATAACTGGGGTCCTGGAGGAGGCATGACTTTCTAAAGACAGAAATGGGGCCGGGCATGTTCTCTCAGTTCCTAATATAACTCCACCCTTTCAACACCCTGGGACTCTCCCAGGGCCCAATTGTGCCTGGGATCCTGGATCCCTTTGGTAAAAGATATCAGAGGGACCCCACTGGCAGAAGGGCTAGGGCATTGGGATGAGCCTGGGCTGTCTTCCTGTGTACCCCAAAGCTCCCTTTGTGATCCGTGCACTAAGGGGAAAGATGGTTCCATCAAGCAGCTGTCCACCAGCCATGAACACGGTGCAGATGCCTGGTGTTGCAGGCAAGGCCCTGGACCAGGACGAATAGTCCCAGCTCTGCTGCTGTCACTGTTGTGGCCTTGGGCTAGTCCTGACCCTTCCCTGGCCTCAGTCATCCTGCCTTCACTGACAGCAAGAGGTGCTGTCAGTTCTGCCCGAGGCATTCAAATCCAGCTGACCTGGTTTGGAGCTCTGCAGATGGAGGCTCTGCATGCTGGCTGCATGGCTCTTGCTCTTAGCTTGGGGTCTTCTGCTCTCTCACCTCTGAAAACTAGTCATTTCCCCATTGGCTCCCAGCCCCACCAGCTTTCAGGAAGCTCTGGTTGTAGCGCTGATGGAAGGGACACAGTGTTTTGAGTGTAGGCACATACCATGCCAATGACTTAGCAGGGGGAGAGCGGGAAGAGATGTCAGGAGCCCATGGGCAATGACAGACTAGGAAGGCACTGACCCTGGAGCCAGCCTGGGCTGGGGGCTTAGGGACTTGGAGGGGGGCATCAGATGCTCCATCACTACTTGTCCCCAAGGCTACAGGTTGGGCTACTCCTCCTTGTGCCTAGGGGCCACTCAGCCTCTCTCTGGTGGGTGGTCTGGGCCTCCTGCCATCAGCCACAGCTCACCCTGAGCCCACAAGGCCTGCCACCACCCACGCTATGGTCCTCACGCTGAGTCTCTACAAGGGCAGCCTTAGCCCTGTGGTACTTTGGCTCCCCTGATATCCAGGGCCTCTTTGAAGGACACCCCACGTTGGTTCTCCCCCTCCCTCCACCTCAGCTCATTTGGGAAGATTTATATTTTCCGCATAAATTGTACTTTAAAGAAATAATTCATGTGCTTTGTTTGTTATTAATCTAAGAATAATCGGAACGGGGTCATCGAGGCCCATGGAAATGTTGGAATTCTAAAATTCTAAATTCCAAACAGATGTTGTACAGTCAAAGCACCCAGGTCAAGTGGCTATGTGAGTCTTGGACATTTTGAAATAGGAAAATCAACTTAGAGACTCAGCATTTTGGATGGAAATCTCTGGACTCCAAGTTTTTGAGGTCTCTCTTGGTATTAAGGGCCTGAATCTTCACTTAGATGTTTAGGAGTATAGGGTATGTGAGGATTTATTGGGTACTGTACTCAATATATCCCAAGCCCTGTGGCAGGTGATTTACATGCATTATTAGCTTTATTAAGTGTCACAACATATCCACAATATAGGTACTGTAATCAGTCCCTATTTTATAAATGAAGAAACTGAGGCTCAGAGATAAGTGACTTGCCCAATGTCAGACAGCTAGGAAGTGTGCTTTCCTGATTCCCCAGCCTTTGATGAGCCCTTTATAGTAGCTTTTCTCCAAAGACACCTTCCTGCTTGAACCACGCAGAGTCCCATAGGCTTTTGGAAAGTTGGGGAGCCCAGAAGCAGAGGCAAGTCTCCTATCTGTGTCCCTGAACCCAAAACACAGCATATGACCCATGCCCAAGAGGCCACTGGCTGATTGAGGTTTGGCCATAGCCCTTACACAGGCATTGGCAGTCTGATCTTATTTCACTGGATGTCCAGACAGACCTGGAGGCTGGGCTCATGATTCTCACTATAGATGAAGCCTCAAAGGATGCAACTTACTCACACAATGATATACAAGGCAGGACTACGACTTTTCCCCTTATACTCATGTACCATGGGACCAACAGCTTTACATCCTGTCTATCCAATCATTCTCCATCTGTCTCCCATCCATCCTCTATCCACCTGTTATCTAACCTTTTATGCATCCTCCCATCCATATGGCTACCTAACCAGCCTGTGATCCATTCATCCTTCTTCATGAGAGATGAGATGGGAGAGATCAGAAGGGTCAAAGCTTGAAGTCCTTTGCCTGGCAAGTTAATGCTTTTCTTGGAGAAATTATCTGATTATTTCCTAGGGAGAGGTCTACCCTTTCACCAGATGATGAGCTCATTGGCACATGGTCTTCTCTGGGATCCCCAGTCCAGAGCCTGGGCACATGGTCCATGTCAAAGGCAGGGGAGAAGTGGAGTACAACAAGATGGCTTCTTCTCACCAGACAACGCCTGTGTCTTGGGATAGGTACTCCTTCTTATTGAGGGGATCTAGGTCCTTTTTCCCCGTCTGTTATCTTTTTTAAAAGTAGTGAAGATTTGAGATAATCTTTAAGAAAAATAACAGACAAGAACCTAGAAATGGAAAGCCGTTGGCCCAGGTGAGGAAACCAAGGTTTGAGGAGAAGGAATAGCCACTAGCGGTCCTCCTGCCAGCCCTGGATCCTAGAAACCCAGGGTTCTGGACTCTTCTCTGAGGCCTAGGCCTCTGTACTTGGAGGGGCTGGAACCCTAGTCTTCCCCTCCATCCTACCACCACCACCAGACAAGATGTGCAGTATTTTTCAGAGCCACACCTACTCTGTTGCCTAGAACCCATGTTTTCCAAGGCGCACCCAGAGCTCCACTAGGAGGCCGCCTTTCCCCTCTGGGAAGGAGTGAGCCACCAGGAGGCTGGGCCATGCAGAAATACAGCACTTCATTCTACAATTCCGTGTCAGCTAAAAATAAGTGCTTAGTGCATCATCAGGAGAACTTGGTGCCCAGCAGGCAGGCAAAGCTGGAGTTCCCATTATGATTTTAGGCATTCCTATGAAGAGGTGTGACTGGGATACCTCCTTGCCTAAGGACCTTGGACTGCCAGCCCAGTTCTTGGGAATTTCGAGCCATGGTGACCCAGGAGAGACACAGCTGGACTCTGACAGGTGGGGCGGTCAAGAGCTGAAGCCATTGCCTGGGGCAGGCTCAGGGTGTGGGGGTGAGTCAGTCACCAGCCCACCTGTGGAACCTCTGAGGCCGCTAGCTTCAAAGCCCTGTGACTCAGGCTCAAATCCCCCCACACCCCTCAACCTGGTACAGATGAGGGCCCAGCACTGGGCCAGGCCCGAAGTAAAGCAGAGTTAAGTTGGGTGGGCCAGTCTGATTCTGTTGCTCACGGGCCACATGACCAAGGGGGCACCATAGTTGAACCTTCCATAGTTGAACATCTGTCAAAGGTGTCTAAGGGGAAAAATCCTACTGGACAGCTGCTGGAAAGCTTTGGGGCAGAGCCAATGGAAGCTTTGGTGCAGGAAGGCTCTTTTAGCCAGCCTGAGTCCTCCCTTCCTTGCTGTGGGCCATGGTGGAAGGCAGGTGGGCCTCATAGCATGGATGCACTCCTGGAAGGGAGTAGACTCCCCCCTGCCCAGGTGTTACTGAGGTTGTGCCATCTTCATACCATGGGCCGGAGCCCCATGAGTGGTCTCTCCCCTGTTCAGTTTTTTCAGGCAAGCACTCACCCTGGCTGGCTTTGATCACCCACATTTGCTTTGGCACACTACACAGTGTCACACTGGACAAAAAGCCCGTTGAGATTTGTGAGCTGTTTTCCTATAAAAACCAGGCTTCAGCTGGAACTTGGTGGTCAGGACACAGCCTGGCATCCGGGTAAAATGTCTCACCAAGTCCAAATGCTCATGCTAACATTGGGCTTGCTTGGGATCTGAGCCTGA